AGGCATGCCCTTACCCAAGGCCGCTGACCAAGAATTTGTTTTCATTAGTTTTTCTACAACTGTAGGAAGATAATCTCTGCTTGTTTCTGTTTACTGCACATCAGTTATCCTTCACATTGTATTGAGTAGAGACATTAATCCACAAGAAAGCCACGACTGTGGGGGGGTACAGATGGGTAGCTGTGGTACTGTATATTGTATACCCTTCTATATCTATGCTAGTAGGGCAGAGGTGGGACAGAAATGAGACCAGGAATAGGATTTGGGTCACTGCTTCAGGGTCTGAATAGAGGAGAGTTACATCACCTGTGTGCTGGAATATGGAATATGTTATATAGGAGTTCTCTCTATCACCAAGACTCTCTCTCTCTCATTTCTTTATCCCTCAGTCTCTCATTTACTCTTCCCATATACCTCTTACCCTCTCCCCCCTCTTTTCTCGCTGTCTTACTCCATCTTTATCCCCTCAGCCTTCCTACCTCTCTCTACACCTCCACCAATATCTCTCTCTTCCTGAACTGTGACAGTTTGCAGCAAAGTCATATGTTCTGATTTTCATATTTTACCTATTTGCCGTGCCATATTTTCACGATTACATTTCATATAGAGTTTAGTCAGTGCGCCCTCTAATGGCTACCTGTGGACAGCGCGGTCTTTATTTTAGGAGAACTATTACACAGCTCAAGATGCTTTTAATGCAGGTCCATTCCAGGGCTTACAGTTAAATGCAATCACTGTTACTCTGGATACCGGGGAGCATGTAATGAAAAAAAATATAGCTGCTGTGGAATGAATATACAGTTACAAATTCTATATAGATGAAGGCTTTTTTTAGGCGCTGGCATTTTGATACGATCATTTATATAAAGATGTTTTCTTTCAGATATGGATCTTAAAAAAAAGCCCAAAAGGCTACATAAGCTCCTTTTCATTTCATACGTGCTGTGTGGGGTCCGCTCTTCGCCGCGGGGGTGACCAAGCTTTTAAGAACCCCGCGGAGCAGAATCGGCTATCCATCTTTCATTTCAGTTTCCCCCTCAGGCTGGAAGACCCTCGAGAAGCGATGCGTAGCAAATATAATAAACCTTTTGCTGCCTATCACCCCTCTGTAGATTGGCTGATTGGGGTTCTAGGATCCACCCAGATGTTCAGCTGGTTAATATAATAATTCCACAGCACAGACCATACAACAGGGATTCATGACTAATGGCTTGATTTCTGCAGCTCTTCACAAAGTAGGGACCCCCCCGAATAAAAACGTCACCCAAATTGGGCTAGCCATGTGTAAGAGAGTCAAAAAAAGATCCACAGACACCTTCTGACCGCCAACCGCATTTTCTAACCCTTATTTCATGCAAGATATTGCCTTGCTTTGTCCCTTCCACCCTACTGTTGTAAGACCCAAGGAAGGGGGCTGTAAGCTGCTGACATGCGTCAGCTGTCACAATGAAACATTTTGTGGACTCTGATTACTGAATCAGTTTGGGGCTTTACTTTCCTTTCTTTCAGTCTCTTCTGGTATCTCCTAATGGAGACCCGCCATCGTCAAGATGCCTGACCGTAGCCTAGAAAACAGATTCAGCTGAAGATTGATCCCATCATACAGAACTGGAATTTTTTCCTTAAAGCCTAATTGAAACCATGGAAAAAGATATGCAGCCAGATAGACTTTGTATCACCGACCTCCAAGTTCATAGTCTTTGCTCTATTTCCTGTTATAGCAGCTGTGCCTAAATATGACTGTGGGGTCCATAGGCACTAGAGTTATACCCAGTGCCCTAAGTAATCAGTTCTCAGTATCAGACCAGATCAGACACGCCCCCTCTGTGTACTTGCCTGAGGGGTGTGGCTGTTACTCAGCTCTGCCATCATAGAGCACTGCAGTATAAGGGGACTAAGCAGCATTTCCAAGCAAACGTGAGTCACACATTTTTGCAGATGGTGTGCAAGGCTATAAAAAAAGATAAACAGGTTTGATAATTTGTTTGGACTTGCAGGGCATATGAGGATATGAGAAGTGGGGCAGCCAATCATAAACAATTAGATTCCACAATGCTTTTGGTTAAAGCTGCCTCCCCCGACCTCATAGTACTTACTGTCCATTAAAGCCATCTAATGCAGGGCTGGACAAATCCCAGGTCCCCAATGCTCCTTAACAATGAACACTGACGCCCAACTTTTGGGGTTCTCTGTAGTTGTTGTCAGTGGAGCTGGCTCCCAAAAAAAATCCTGCTGGCTCCTGGATTGGACAAGCTGGCTCCTGAATTCCGTATTAATTTGTCCACCCCTGAACTAATGGTATGGCCATCTACCTTGAGAACCTGCAAAGACTTTCACTCTGAGTGAATGTTGATGGCTGTAATCTGCCCATGTATGTGTACTAGAAACGAGCAGGCGACGTTCCTGGCTCTGCTCCGGTCTAGGCGGAGGACATCTCTGCGTCATGTTCAAGACTCTGGAAAGGTTCCGATGGTGGTCTCACGCTGAGAGTTTTCTCTCCGCCACATTTCCAGACTTCAATTCCAAATTGCCCTTTGAATGTTCTTCTTCTCGTTCAGATTCCTCGCCCGCTGCTTTTCGTAATGTTCCTGCACCTGCTCACCCCATAACCCTACATGCCGCTGCCTGGCAGAGGACCGCATCATCCCTCGCTCATTCCAATTCTCTCTAAACCGAGAAGAGTAAAACAGCCGACAAGGGCAGGCCTGCAGGACTACAAGTTCCAGCCAGTGTGCCTGGACATCCTGGAGCAGGGGCAGCCTGTCATCTTGCGGTTCATATTCTGTGCCTGGCTGTCATCCTGCGGTTCATCTTCTGTGCCTGGCTGTCATCCTGCGGTTCATATTCTGTGCCTGGCTATCATCCTGCGGTTCATATTCTGTGCCTGGCTGTCAT